TTTCACTGGAATTCCTCGTGATGTTTTCTCACGAATAAATAGTTCATATTAGGCTTGTCGGTCTATGTGATGACATCAGATTTTAGTAGCAATTTTCACTGGTCAGTAACCATGTGGAGACATTTATCGTAGAAGGATCAAGACTCGCTGTGAGATCATTTGACGGACCATCAACTTTGTGTCTAAAGGAATATGACCATTACTGAAGCTACTGAAAATCTCTTGATGTGACATAAGTAATGCTACCTTTCGTTCTTCAAAAAGCCCTTCTCAAGAAATCTAAAACATCAACACTCGCCTTAATCTGCATTTTATTTCATTCTCATTTACAATCGGTGATTCATTGACTTTTCGAATAAATTATAGATCTACAATATAGAAATTATAAGTCTTACTTCGGTCGAAGAGATTCGTCTATCACATTTTGGTCGCATCACAGTTCATTTTTGACTTCCGTGTAGTAGGAAACCCACTATTGATGACTCCTTTCAAAGTAATTCATAAAGAAAAGGACTGTCAATGACAGCTGCTCCAACGGCAACTCCTCCCTAAATTCGGGCGCAATTACAAGACGTCCTAAGCGAGCAATAAAGTAAGTAGTTAATGGGTTTGTTGCACACTCTTTCGCGATTACCTGGTTGAGTAAATGTGATTATGCAGAACATACACGAAAAGCTCACCTCATCAACTTCTTCGCTTTTGGTCCGCAAAAGGTGTCCTCCTTGGCGCACTTCTGCCATTCCTCGATCACCCAACGCATATCCATAGACTCCCAGTTCGCTGACAACGTTCGCTAGTTGTGGTGGCTGCATAGCGCGTAGTAGATAATTCTGAACATTGCTTGCAAAAAACACTCCAAAGCTATCGATGATGATAATTAGAATTCAAGCGATATACCTCAACGACCAGAGGTTGAATCCTTTCCATCAGGATAAAGGCGCCAAGTTCTTCCTTCTCCATGCTTTTAAGTTTTTCTGCCATTTTTTCTCCGTAGAAGTTTCCACCGCCACCTTCCAATTGAGGTTTGAGAACAAATCGAGAAGGATGTGCAATAGCATTCTGTGAGGAACAAATCTATCTGCGTCAGCACTTTAGCAATCATTCACAAACCTTGATGAGTTTCTCCGTTACCGCATCACCACCATTGATCGACCATAACCCAGCAAACGTTGCTCTTATGGCGGCAGCATCA